TGGGCAAGTCCTGTGAGCCACACACTGGCAGAACTTTTCCTTCAGGAGTTTCCCATCACTGTGCTCAGCACAGCCCAGGGAAAGGCTCCTGTGGCTCCCATCAGCACAGGGACCTGTTCTGCAGGACAGATCCCATGGCAGGAACAGGAACAGCCTTGTGCTGCCTTTGGAGCGTGGCTGGGAGAGGGACAAGGCAACTCCTGCCCTACATTTACCCCCAAGAATCAGAGTTGTGTGCAGATACTGTTTTCATTTACATGGCACCAAAATGGATTAAATTTAACAAGAGTCCAGGCCCTGCAGGGTGCAAAAGCTCTTACAAGGCCACAGATCCTCTCCAGGTGGGGATGGGATTAAGGTGGTGTGAACACCATCCCACACTTATGCAATGTCAGCACAAGCCCTTGGGAAGCTCTGCCCTGCAGCAGCTCGGGCACCACTGGCTCCAGCAGCACCAGTGCCCACTGCTCTGCTGGCTGCACTCCCTGTGAAACCTCATCAGGAGCTCCTTCCCCCCTCTAAGGACACCTCTGAGAGGAAAAAAACCCACAGAAGAGCTATTTGCATAAATATCATAACTTTTATTGTTCTGTTCACAGTTTTTGAAGACACATTCCTAAATTACACAGTTATTCTCTCTTAAGAATTTGTGCCTTTTTCCAATTTGAATTTGCCTGGCTTTGACTGCCAGTTGGTGATTCTTGTGTTGCTTTTTAAGATCAGAGAGCTGCAGTGTGCAGTATTTTCTGCCTGTGAAGGTACTAGTGCACTGTAATCAAGACAGTCTCAATTCTGTTAGAAAATCTCAGCCAACTGAGTTTTCTCTCACCCTCTCTAGGGCATTTTCACACTCCACCAGTAATTTCTGAATCATATTTTTTGCATCCATTCCAATTACTCAGCTTCTCTTGTAGAATGTAAATATCCAAATTGCATCCAAAATTCCCAACTCTCCCAGCTGAGACATACAGAAGGATAATCACTTGCAGCTAACAGTAATTAAAAACACGAACACATTCGTATTCATTAGGCTTTTACCCTGGGACTGCACTGGGAATGTGCATGGAGCTGTTCTCATTCTGGTCCTGGCCATGGATATTTCTGTAATGTTTTATCAGTAGTGATTCTGTGCTGTGTTCCTCAGTGATCTGGAACCACAGAATGTGCCAGGTCCCTGCAGAACCCTGCTCTGGGCATCCCCATTTCATGGTGGTTGTGTCTGAGCTGCAGCAGTGACTGTGAGGGAGCACACAGCTCTGCAGGGCCCCGACACACTCAGCTCACTCTGATCCCAAAGGAACCCAAAGGACAGAATGAGAGGACTTACAGCAGGCTCCATCAGGAACATCCATCTCCTTTTCCATCCCTTTCCAGGCTGTCCCACTGTCCTGAGCCACTGGCCACCCCCAGCAGCAGCTCACACACTGCCCCAGGCTCCTCCCTTGCAAACACTGATCGAGGTTTTTGGGCCTGCTGAATTAAAAACTGTTAATTTTAAATCCTGACCATTGCTAAGGAATGACATCACCTTTCCAGTTCTCTTACATCATCCCTAGGTTTTATCTCCTGCATCTATTTCTTAGCAGTTCTTATCCTATTGCAGATTTCCTCTGAACTTCAGCTCCTCATCACCCTCTCCAAGCACTCCAACCCAGATTTTTCTTTTCCTTTGGGTTGTGCTTTCCTTATTTTCTGCATTTCCTAACTCCCATTTTGAATGGATTGCAGTCTGCTTCCCTTTTTGTTATTTGTTTTATATTACTTTCCATCTAATTTTCCCCCTCATTTCATCACTGAAGTAGGATGGGCAGTTAGCCAAAGTTGTCCCCCTTCTCAATTGCAAAATTATTGTTTTTTTGGCCATTTAATACCTTTCACTTAGAAAACTGTCAATTCTACTTCAGTTTTTCATCTAATTTCCTCCCCACTCCCAGATCTGGTATGAAATTTGCTCAGCTATGCCCTTTTGAAGCACCAATTAAATTTATTAGCAGCTCACATGGCTGTTTGCTGAGCTCCACTGCAATCAGGATTCCAACCTCATTTCTGACATTCATTTATCTTTATCTGGCATAAACAAGACCAAATAATTTCATCCTTCATGTCTAGCACTGCTTCAGAAAAACAGGTCTAGGACACAGACCAGGAGCTTTAATCCTGACTACTGGATTCCCTTCCACCACCAAACAAATAAATACATTTTTACTGTCTGTCCCTGTGAAAACCCAAGCCAGTGTGTGCTGGAAGTTGATGGTAACAGGCACATGTGTCTTAGTAAACTCTTGCACATTCACTTCTCTTAGAATAATTTTTTAAAAGACTAATTATTTTTTAACCAACCCAAAAATAAAAAATAAAATAATTTCCCAAGTCTCAAACAATTTTCTGGCTTCCTGCACTGAGACTGAGCCTTCAGTACCTTCTTTAATATCCCAATCTCCTCAGACAAGCTGCCTTTCCAATTTTCTGCTTCTTTAGCAGGTGCAGAAGTTTAAAGTGTGAGCCAAGTCTGCCAGGCAAACAGTCCTGGGTCTGACACGCAGCTCAATTAACAGTAACTTATTTTTCCAATTAACCACCTTCATGCCTCCCCTGTTTAAAACACCTCAGAATGCATTTTTGCATTCTAGATTTCCCAGATAAAATGAAACCAAAAAAATCTGAAGCACTTTTGGATACGTTAACAGCATTGTGCTACTGCTTTGTTTGAGAAACAATCCACATGGAATATCCAAGTCTGTCCCACACTATAAATAAATCCACTGCACTGGAACAGCAGGGGGAAGCTGGGGACAGAAAGGAGATGGGTGACAAGGCTTGTTGCTCCACACTCCCCAGAGAGTGAGGAGGAAGAGAAAACAAAGAGGAAGCAGGAGGTGAGTGAGTGGCTGTGGAGCAGCCAGGTCTGTGCCAGCGAGAGCCCAGGCAGGCAGGGCAGGGATCCCTGGAGGGGTGATGGGAAGAGAGACCCAGATGGAAAAGAGGCAGCAGGGAAGAAAAGCCATTAAAGATGCTCGGCTGCACAAGGTTCTTTGCCAAGGAGCAGGGAAGGAACAAGGATGACTTGGCCTGGAGCACAGCGCTGAGGGAGGGGATGGAGCGAGATCTGACAGCTCAGGCAGAGCAGAGCAGGAGGCAGACTGGGCAGCAGAGCCTCCAGCCCCCACAGAAATGCTCCTCTGGGCTCAGCACTGAGGCAGAGATTCCTGGCTGCAATCACACTTGTGTGTGGCCTCCCAGTGAAATGTGGAAACAGAAATTGCTGCTTCAGCTCCGGGTTCCTCCCCAGCAGGAGCTCAGGTCAAGAATGGGGATCCACACAGAGAACACAAAGAACTCCCCCAGCACACACATGGGTTACACCCAACACCACAGTGCCACATTGGAAATTCAACTTTTAAAAACCTATTTATACATAACTTCAAAGAAATTAGGGTTCTCCAAGTCCAGGCACACAAAGCTGGGCAGTTTTGGACAATTTCTGAGCAGTGTCAGCTCAGTTTTTGATCACTGAAATGATCGGACACTGCAATGTGCTCCCCAAACTCACAGAGCACAAACCTGGTTCTGCCATTTCCTACCTCCTGAGTGCTTGACTTTGTACAGCCTTAATAAGGGTCTTCTAAAAGTAGCTCTCTGTGGGTAATTGTGTGTGGGACATTTGCCAAACTAAACATGAGGGAGTTCAAGAGGCTTTTCTAATCTTGTGAGTTTATCCACTAAAGAAAAAGATTTGATTAAAAAAATGAAGTACAGCTAAACTGGGAACAATACTTTACTACAGGCTGTTCTTCATAGGCACTTCAGAATCTTGAAAAAAAACCCCACAAAACTAGGAACTTATTAAATCAGAATGAAATGTACCAATGCAGAAACATAAACAGAAATGCCAGATGTATAATGTCAACTTTGAATACACAGCTTCAATTATTTCTTCTTAATTCATTTGTTTTCTTAACTTCTTTTGTTTTGCTCTCTGGAAAAGGCCATTTTCTAATGACAGATCACAGGAGGAAAGATCCAAAGTTCAAGTTTACTCCAAAGAAAAGCAGCCTCATTTCTGTGCTCACAGACCCCGTGTCCCTTTTGTACTTTTCACTCTGTGGAGGCTTCAGGACAAATCCAGGCCTGGACTGTAGCAAAGAGAGCTACGTGGAAGTTTAGGAAAGGTTTTAAAGTTTTACTCCTCAAGTACAAATGTGAAATTAGTTCTTGAGCAGGAACTGAAGCCACAGGAAATGGCAGAGTGAGTGACAGGCACACGGTCACCAGCAAGTGTGAGGTGTGTGCTCACTGGAGTACCACGTGCAAGATTCCTAGCTGGCTCTCACTTGTGTTATTTTAAAAATAATCTTCATTTATCCCGTAAAAACCCCCAACCCATTAATCAACCAACTTTTATAGTTAAGCAGATTTGAGCAGTGGAAACACAATCACTTTGTTCTGTGAAGCTGATCTTCTCCAAATCCCAAACACATAAACTGAATTTCACCCACCACCTGTCACTTCTCAACTTGCTCACTCCAGGACTTGGGCCAGGGATGCTTCCCCATTCCCAAACCTGGCACAGGTTCTCTCCAGGCTCTCCAGGCTCTGTGCAGCACCAGTGCAGCACCAGTGCAGCTGTGGCCCAGCCACAACAAACAGGAGCCTCAGAGTGTTGTTTTACAGGGGCTTTAATTTCAGAGGGATTTTTGGTGGTGCTTTTTTCCTCACTTACTTTATATAGAAAACAGAACTCAGGATGTGGAATTTCAGGATATCACACAGGGCAAGAGAAATATAATTTCAAATTAGGAGCACTACAGTGAAGCCACTATTGTGCCTGAAAATGAGGGACATTCCACTGAAGAGGCAGAAGTGCCATTTTCTGAAGAAAAGGGATGACAGTTTTCTTCCACTGGCAATGAAACATCAAGTAAGCCAAGACACAAATGATCCATTCCTTGTGCACACCACGATGTAAAATTGCTGACAAGAATTGCAAGTTCACATGTGCAGCAGATACAAACCCTTCATAGTTTATTGATGAAAAGAAATTCTAGTGAATTGCAAAGTGAAGTTCCAACTTTATCCCACTAACAGCATTTCAGGAGGAATAAGTAACACCACCATTGAGCTTTACAATCCTGTATTTTTAGAAAATGACATTATGGTACATCAATCCCCTCAACATAACAACATGACATGATCTTGCTCTTCAGCCCCCAGGCTACTCCCCAGTAACCTGAGCTGCTCCTGGCTTGCAGTGCAGCTGTTCCAGCTGTGCACTCCCAGCTGACAACTGCCATGCACAGCAATAGTTATGATCATCCATGCACGGAGTATTTGCTTTAAGATGTGGAGAACTACATAAAAATAGAAGAAATCATTTTCCATTTGTTTCCCAGCTCTAGGCTTCAGATATTTCAAGTTTCTGTTTATCCCAAATTCGCCCAGAGTGCACCAAGCAGCTTTTACTGGGTGTTACAAAAATCAACAATAAATGTGCAAGTGGTCATCTTAAAGTAACAGCAAGGACAATAATTAGATTAGTAATAACTTGATTTCTACTACCATGAATCAATCACAGGTTCTAACATCTGATGTTGTGTGAGGACCCCAGACAATTATCTTATTTAGAAACTCTACATTTTGTGCACAACTTCCAAAGATACACAATGTCCTTCAGAATAATTCACTTTCTGTGAATACTTCATGAGAACATTTGCTCTTGTGTTGCCATGAAAGGAACAACTTACAGAAAGAGCCAGGTGGCTTAGGAATATCCATCCAATCTGTATTTGCACTCTATCTACAAACTGGCCTTTTAGGAACCTTGGAAGAAAAAAAAATCCTTAAGATTTCTCTCTACTGCCTATGAAGGAAGGGTTTGGTCAAACAGGGGCTGAGAATTCCCCTGATCAGTGACTTTATTTCAAGCTCAGCAAAGCAAAGCATTACCCAGACAATTCAGGGCTGCTGTGTTCAGGCTCTTGTGAAAAATGGTGAGGGAAAACCTCAGGATTTTGCTAAATTCCAAAACACAAGCAGTTAATTTAAGAGTCTTGATTAGGACTGATGGTGTGGGTCAGCCCAGCTGCAGGTTACAGATGTCACCAACACTGAAATCCTCTCCTGGTCTCCCTGCTCAGTGGAAAAGCATGAGAAGGTTTTCTGGGACCTCTTTATGACCCCAGAGTGCAAACACCAGGCACAGCTTTGCTCATGAGCAGCTCCAGGCTGGCTCAGATCACCAAGAGGTCCCTGCTGAGCACTGGGGGAGGACAGAGCTGCTCTTGACTTTGCCCTGGGCCAGCAAAGGCAGCTTACACTGGGTGAGACCTGCCTGGACATTACTCCAGATACCCTCACAGGAGACCAGTTTAAACCTAAAATCCTCCCCCTTTATCCTGCAAAGATAGCAATTTTTTTTTTTTTTTCTTAAACCAACCACTTTTAGGCTGTTTTTAAGCTGAACAAAGGACTCTCAAAAAAAAAAAACCTTATTTTTTTTCAAAGTGAATCAGAAATTCTGATAAGAGAACAAGATATTTACAGCCACTTAAAAAAATCTACTTCATATCTCAGTCTCCCTTCAGCAAAGGTTTTCTCAAATATATTCTTCAAAGCCATGAAAATTAATTTTGCAGTGTTACTCACAACCTTGCCTTTCTGAAAAGAATGCTTCATTAGAAAGTTTTCTTCAGCTTCTACTGCCTAGGCAGTATCTTCGTTATCAATTCTGCCCAATTTGTCCCATGAACTCCCTGCTTTGTCCTTTCCAGCTCCTCTCCCTCCTGCCCTGCCCTTTGCAGCCAGGCTGCAGTGGCTCTGTCCCTTCCCTCTGAGCAGACAAGGCACCAGCACTTCAAAATGCCAAAAATACACCTCTCCTTTCTATTGAATCTCCTAGAAATACTTCCAGACTCATGTTCAGAAGCTGAACACACCAATTACAAGGTTCTGTTTCCCACCTATTTTTCTTATTAAGCCTTACATTAAATTTCACTTATTTGCACTTGCAGAGGAGGAAGCCCTTGAGACACAAGTGGGACAAACACAAAGGTCAAGGAGTGCAGCAGAGAGGCTGCAGCCCCACAGCTCTCACAGAACCCCAGAACAGGCAAGGAATGACAGAAGTCATCTGTAAAAGACTCAGCTTCATCTTGTAACATGCTACAACAAATTTTGCCACTGAATGGTTTTGGGTCTCCCATTTGAGAATAGATGTGAATTTACCTGCTCAAAAACTGTTCAATCTACTGAATCCATCATGTTAAAACACACTGAGTTTGCTTATACACCTTGTGGTAAAAGGAAGCTTAGAAACAAAATCTCCTGATTCTAAAGGTGCTGTCAAGTGTCTGAACTCCTGAACCCAACTAACCTGACACGTGGGATGTTACCTTGTACCTCAGCAGGGAGACTCTGAACAACTTTTGTGTGTCAGGCTCACCATGGGATGGTTTGCTTTGATATTAAAATTAGTCTGGAAAAAAAGAGAAATTCACCCTGAAATCAGACTGCAAGCTTCCTTATGCCATGAACAAAGCTGACAAGAGAACACTGCTTCCTCCCCACCTCTAAAACTGTGAGAACAGGACAAAAGTAACAAAGGAAACATTAATTTGGGGGCTTTATTTAATTTTTCTTTTCTTTCTTTTTTCTTTTTTTTTTTTTAAGATGCTACATAGTCAAACAAGATTGGTCTTTTTACGGCATAGGACTAATTTACTACTGATATTTTTGTTTCTCCCCTAAATAGACTTATTTACATACAAAAACAGTTTCCTGACCACTGTTTTCCCCAATGCTCAGATGATCAAAACTCCCAACAATGGTGTAGTGCCCAAAACACCAGGAGGCAGAAGAATCTTGCACCACTACAGCAGCAAAGTTTTAGTTCTCGTCACTGGCTTTGAACAGGTGCCTTCTCATACCACAAAGAATCAGTCAATTTCGTGATAATAAGGAAACATGAGATGAAATACATTAAATAAGTCAAATATGCATTAAACATCTCTGAATAACATTTTAATTCAACTAAATGAACCAACAGCAATGTAGCTTGGTCCCTTGGTGAGAACAAGGCATTGACCTTTATTCTGAACCAGCCCCTCGGTGCTGCCCAGCTCCCTCAGCGCTGCCACACCCAAGGCTTTGCAGCTTCTCACTGCTCACTGAAGTGCCAAGAAATTGGTAACTTGCACAGAGTTGAAGACACCGACAGAAACTGTTAAATTCATGAGCAGAATGGTGGATTAACGTATTTTACAGAAGTTATCAACACCTCCTGCCTAACCCAGCTCCAAACATCCCTAGGGCCAGCTCCAGCAGTGGAGGAAGAGGTTTTTCTAGTTTTCCTTTTTTTTAAATTTTTTTTTTTTAAAAAGAGGTAATCCAGCAACATGTACCAGGGCCTAAGAATGTTTAAAATGACATATACAATATTCCATTGTAGTGTTAAATCAGGATTTTCTCCCCCCTTCATCATTGAAGCATATTCTCTTTCATTCATTCCCTCACCGTACATTTTGAACTTTCTAGATTATGTTACATAGTATTTGTGCAGGGGTAATTTAAAGGCAAGACCTGTGAGATGTCATACATTAATTTTTTTTTTTTAAACATTGTTATGAATAAATTTAATCCAATGATATGGCAGAACCATCAAACCAATTTACAATTTCCAGCATGCTGCCTCTACAAGGCTATTTTTCCTATAATTACACCAAAGACAAAGAACAAAACCACCAAAGCAAGTAGTCTGGAGCTGAGCCCTTCATCCTTGACAGCAGCTGCAGAAGGAGAGATTGGGTTGTTTGTCTGGGGTACCTTCCTCATCCGCAGTCCATCTTCTTCCTAAAGGAGGAGAGATTGGTTATCTCTACAAAAAAAGCTTTAAATATTCATATTTAAATGATGTTGTCATATTTATTTGGGTGGGTGTTACAGAATAGGTGAAAGCAAACTGACAGCTAAGTTAGAGCTCTGTGTCCTGAATGATCCTGAGAAGGAAGGGTGGGAGGCAGGAGGGGAAAGCCAAGGGAGGGGGGAAGCCCTGAGGAACCTGCAGGAACTCCTGCCCAAAGCCATCTGGAGACGGCTCCAGAACTTCAGAAAAATGATGGAGGAAGTGCCATGAAGGTGCTTTTCTTGCTCTGTAACAAAGGTGCTGTTGGGGAAAATGTTTCTCAGTATAACTAAGGTGAAGTTGCATGTTTTTCACAAGCCAAGGCAATTACACTCCTCATTTTCCATGTCAGATGTCACAAGCAGATCTCCCAGCCCTTGAAGGGAAATCAGCTTCCCCATCATATTAATGCTGACATTTTGACATGAATCTAATGGCAATAATTAGGATATTTTCTTGATAGGAATTTGGCAGCTCACCTGATTTAAAGATGAGACAACAGATAAAACAAAACAACACCAGCAGAAATTCTCATTCCAGGTGGGAATGATGCTCCCCTCAGCTCTCCCTGAGCTGCTGTGCAGCACAGCTGTGTGTTAGCACACTCCACTCACACACACACACTCTGAGCACTCCAGGAGAGGGGAAATGAGTCTTTTGTGACTTAATTGGTGTCCAGCTGAAGCAACAGTGTTAGACTTTTTAATGTGATACAGTATTATAGTGCAAAAGTATAAGGTATCAAAGCAAAAGTCTCCAGTCTCTACTTAAATACTCAAGGAACCCAATTGTAATGAAAGTTACCGCAGTCTTCAAAATTGCCAGGTAAGTGGAGTTCAAAGGGCTTGGGGTATGTCAGTGTTTCTCACTTTTGAATTTAAAGGGACACCTACATGACCTGATGGTGAACTTATTTTTCTATTAATAATTTATTGACTAATTGAAAGCCACAGGCTACCCAACACCTCACTGCTGCTCCAATTCTGAGTGGAGACGACTGACTTTTGTAAACAATAAAATGCTGTTTACATACAACACACTTTATATAAAAACAACAAATTTTCATTTAAAATATTTTAATTTCCTTCTGACAGCGACTCCAGCCTGACACTGACAGCACTGACAGCAGGCAGTGATTCAGCATTGCTTTCTGATATTTTACAGGTGTTTCTAACACTCCACAAAGGGACAAAGAACTCACCTATCTGGGATGTTACTGTAAGAAATCAGCTCAATTCTAGATAGCTCTTGTAGAGTGCTTAGTCAAGACCAATTTGCAAAAAAATTAAATAAAATCATACAGAACTTAAGAGCACTGAGTCACTGGCAAAACAAGAACACAAGGAGAAGTTAGGGCCATGTCTGTCTGTTATGTATACATATTATTTCTGTGCAAAACAAAACTGTTTCCAAGAATTCCTTCATGCACCAGCCAGCCAAGCAGCACCAGAGCTGAGAGAACAGAGCTCCTTTCACTGGGCTGCAGGAGTCACAGCATCCACACTTTCCTTGGTGCTGATATCCATGGAAGTAGACACTTACAGCAAGTCAAGCTACTGTAAAAAGAATTTTTCAGCAGAGTGATAAAGGCTTCTCAATTACTGGATTTCCCAGCCATGTGCTGGATATGACAGGAAGCCCATTTCCCATTCATCTGTCTTAATTTGGCCATTTCAGCAGCACATTACAGGTGCAATTACTGAAACACTCAGTATTTGCACAACACTGCCCTCAAGCTCCCATGGTTTGGGAGAAGGGGCCAAGTCCAACACTGAATGCTTAATTCAGACTGAGAAATTAGGTGGGAAAAGAAAAAAGAGGGGGAATTGACTCCTCTGGGTTGCTACCCAATCTCCTTCTGTGACTGCATGACTTGTGCCTCCTTTCAAAGGAACCATTGATTTCAGCACCTTCTCAGAGTTTACAGAGAAACCTGAATTATCTTTTACTTTATAGACAGCAGTAAAATATTGTGCTAAGGTCAGGTAACCAAACCTTTAAGATGGAAGCTTCTTTTTCAGGAAAGGGGTAAATCTGAAAAGAAAACAACAGCAATCTTTACCTTAAACTGTTTATTCTCCTCCCGTAACCTCTGAACTTCTACTTGAAGCCTCTTATAGTCTTCCATTACTTTCTTAACTTCAGTGTCATCCAAAGAAGAACTTATTGATTTAGACATTATAGAGGAATCTGTCTTTGTTGCAGTTGTGGATGCAATTTTATTTATTTCTATGTCATGCTGTTAAAAAAGGATAGAGTGTTTTTTGGTTAGTTATTAACACCACACCACACACCTGATACATAGGAGGAGAATCAGGTAAAATTGTCTGTGCACACCTGACACGTGCCTGTATCAAAAGAAATAAACAACATTTTGCTTTCTGTAACTTTACTGCTACCCCAGAAAACATCAGGTCAGCAGCAGTAAGTAAAGAGAGAATGACCTTGACTTGTCAGACCCTGCATGTACAGAAATGTCCCTAAATCAGGGACACAACCAAGGGTCTCCTTCCCTTTCCCTCCCCAGGCACAGCAGGAGCAGCCACTGCAGGACCAGCACAGGCTGCAGCTCCCTCCCCTTCACTCCTGGCTGTCTCCTCTCCCTATTTCTGTGTTTCTGTGGGGATGCAGGGATTTGCAACCCAAGCTGGAAACAAAGTTCAGATCTCCCAACCCAACCCTGCTCCCTCTTCTGCCTTTGGATCTCCTCCATGCTCTGCACTTTGGAAAGGGTCTCTCATAAAATCAAACCTCTCCCCAGCCAATTACATAATCCTAATTACAGATGCTCAGTGCAAGGTAGAACAACTGTGCCTTCAGTACCTGCACACTAGGAAGCATTTTCCAGTTTATTCAATCCATTACCAGTTTTATACTGGACAATACATATTTGCATTACAAATTATTATGTCTATTACCCTAACAAGAAAGGATCCTACAATATTATAGATTATAATTTCAATATAATTCCTAACTGCATTTGTGTCTTCCTCATCAGTTTTCTAGCAATTCACCTGACAAAATCAGAGTTGTACTAAGGAAGTGCTGGAGAGGCAGTGAAATTGATATTGCTGATGATTATAACTGCTTCACTATAAACTCTGAGCTTCACAACCAGCAATCAACACCTTTAATTTTTTTTAAGTATTCTTTATCCTGTGACCTTTCACTAAATGACAACAGATCAACTCAAAAATTGCTTTGTGCTACTGTTGCATTTATGAAGTTTAAACTGGCTGTTAGTTACACCAAGGATTACCAAGATTTTAAATAGTTTACATTGTGTTTTTAAAGGGTGATGCCATCCAGGCAGTGAACAGAGGGTTCTGTCTTGTGCTTATACAGCTGTCTGTACAAACATGCCATTTTACAGGATTTACTGTGGTATTAAGTCAAATCACTCAATATGCATCTGAAAATACTCACAGGCTTATCATTCTCTGCTGGTAACTCAAACACACACCTAAGTTTCGAATCCATGAGTTCTTCTGGTTTTGCTTCTTTCCACTGGAATAAGTTAATAGTAATTTCATATTAAACATATTAGTACAATCAGGCAGATTGGAAATGCAGTGCATTATGTAAACAAATCACATCATTTCACTCAGAAAGAACCCACAGGTGTTTATCACACCACCATTAACCACACACAGGATGAAAAATGAGATCAAAACCAAAACTGAGTGGTATCATAAAGACAGAGCAGATACTATGAAGCAAATCATTCTAAATAGTCTGAAACTTCCACAGGTAATTTATGAGAACTGGGAGCTGTATCAGAGTAATTAGCAGAGACTGGGGGAGTAATGAGCCTGCTTAAAAAAAAAAAAAAAGAAAAAAAAAGTAAAAGGAGAAGTGAATTCAAGGGAAGGGCAAGATAATAAGCCCCCAAATAAATGACAGAATGAGTTCTCAACTCTCCGGCCAGTGGAGCTCCTATTCAAACTTTTCCAATTTCACATGAGCTTTTCTTCCTGACTGGAATGAATACAGGACTCTTCTTCCCCCTCCTTGTTTTCCACATCCTTGTTTTCCAGCATCAATGTCTGAACAGCACCAGATGTGCTGCACACAGAGGGATAACTTCCCCTCACTCCTCCTCTCCCCTTCAGCTGGGGACTCTGCCATAAACAAGATTCCTTGTTTTAACAGGGATCAGCAGTGATAAACCTTTGCTCAGTATCAGCTGTAACCCTGAAGTGAAGAGATTTATTCTCAGTGATAATAAACAGCAAGAAGTGTCCACACTTCTATCCTGGAGTTCTCACGTGCTCCTCTTCATTCTGACCATCCTCCTGGTTGCTTGGTATTCCTCAGCATATCTCAAGTAGGTGACAAATTATGGCTAAGCCCATGCAAGCTGGAGTAGTATTTAACTCATCCTAAACAGCTGAACCCAAGTTCAGCTCTGCTGGGGCTGAAGTCAGATCTATTTTGAGCTCCTTGGCTGCCTGGGAAGTGTTGAAAGCTTTATAGTACTCCCGTAACTGGTCTCACCTGTTCATCCAGAATAGGAAGAGATCTGGAGAGTGGTAACAAAACTGAGAACTGATCAAAGTGTTACAGGAAAAGGAATCCTATCGGTCTGCAGAGCTTTGGAAAATTGCAAGGCCCATCTAGGTACTAAAAAACATTCTTTGCCAGCAGAATAACATTTGTCATGGTATAAAGTAACTCATAAAAATTAAAGAGCTCGAAAGAAAGGCAGACTGACTTATCTTTCTAGTGATGCAGACATTTTATTACTACTGCTGTTTCTCCCACTGGATCTTATTTTGAGCCCATTAAACAAATATAGTTCCATAAATCAGTTTCAGAAGGGAAATTATTAACCTGCAGAGTGCCCCAGCTTTAAGAAGCTATTCAGAAGAAGACACATATTGTAAAGACTACTGTAGAGTATTTTTGGGTTGGCTTTTTTGTTTTTAAGTAGCACACAAAAGCCACACACTTTTAGAAAAATGATCTTTTTGCTTTTTACATTGTGTCCTCAATAGCCACTGGATGTTTTCTCAAGCTAACAAAGGCCAGGCTACAGAGAGCTTCCTTGTGCCTTCTTCTGGGGGCAAATCTTGCTGATAAAGGAAAGCCAGCAGTTGACACAGTGGTTTACTCCTCTGCAGGTTGTCTTACTGTAGCCTGACATCTTATTTTTATGTCTTTTGTCCTTCTCTGCTCCAGCTCCTACATATTTCTACTGCTCTCATTTGTAATCCGCAGGACAGAATCTGTGAGGGCCTTTCATTTACAAAGCCACAGCAGACACAGGTAGGGATAAAATAAAACACAATACTTGTAAATCATCCTCTTGCATCTTGCAGAAGGAGCTGCTCAAGAGAAGACTCAAGACTGAGAGTAGATACATCAAAATGATGCCACAGACTTAGAATATATTCTGTATATCCTTAGAATATATGGCTCAAGCTGCCCTTTCTAAAGAAGGATATATTGCAAAAACTACAACCACTTCTTTCATGGTGTGGCATCCCATTACTGACAGCAGCTTCCCAAAGAAGCAACCACAGACAACAACTCAGTGCAAGATTCCTGGGGCTCAAAAAACCAGAAAACTCCTTGCCATGCAGAGATGGAAATCTGGAAAAGCTTTTAATGACTATTCCAGTGTGGTTTGACAACACCCCTTAAACAAAGCAGTCAAAGGACTTAGAAAATTCTACAATTAGAAAGAAATCCATTTAAAATAATTTCAATACTTACTACTGCTTCCATATCTGAAGTATCAGCTGGAGCAAACATAGACTGAACCATAAACTTGTGTTTACTTTTCTCATTAGGGTCATAGTCAAAAGGCTGTAGCATCACTGGAAGAAAAAAACCCAGAACACATTGCATTAACATTGCTCTGCTGCAGAGTCATGCACTGATGACACAGTCACCAGATTCCAGAAAAACAAACATTAAAATGGTTTCAAGTTGTCTGTTGTTAAGACCAAAGCAGCAGCTGAAATCAGGAACCTCACTTTAAACCAGAATTTTGAAAGGAGGCAAGAGAAACAGATTTCCTCAGTCTGTCTAGACTTTGGTCTGAGAACTCTGGAAATGCTGATCACTCCACATCATTCTGTACACAGCTATAGAAGATAACAAGTCATTTATAGGAAATAGGATCATTTACATATCTTCTGGCACAGAGGGAAACATTTTCCAAGACAGCATCTTTTTGTGTTGCTCCTTCCTTGGGGCAGAAGTAAGGAGCATTTTGATGAGCTGTACACACAATATTGCTGATGGTGCCCGAGAAAAGCTACAGAGGCAAAGTCAAACATTGCAAACCTTGAGGTTCAAGTCTCAGGATGGAAATTTCCTCTACAAAGTTTAAGAGCCTCATGGCATTTGATTTATCAAGTACAAGTATTTTGCTTCCACAAATAAGTTACTGGAAGTTTGTTACCAATTTATAGCTTGAAGTTTATAGTTAAATGTGATGCAAACTTTGCCTATGAAAGGTATGCAAAGAATGTATTTCTCTTCACTCAAAAAATAAAAAGCATTCCAAAATTTACTTATGCAGAAAAAGACTCTCTTTAGGGGGCAGAGAGGAAGGAACAGCAGGTTTAGGGAGTGTGTGTGCTTTCATTTAATTTTTTAAGCAATATGGGGAATTTCCATGTCTTTGCTTTTGGGTTAAAGCAACCTGAAGAGGGACAGATGGGAATTTCATTTACACAGAATAATCTTTAATCACAGTGGTCACTTGGAACTCCCACATTTGCAAATAACACCTGGATGTTCAGCTACTGGGGCATTAAAAACCATGAGCTTGGCTTCACCATGAGACAGAACATGTGGAAATAAGCAGCACAGTTCACACAAACATGTTATTAGACACTGCAAAAAGCCTCCACCCCCTCAAACTGAAAACAAAGCTTGCAAATACTGCCATTACTGCTAACAGAAAAAAAATGGTGTAAGGTTTAAAAATTCCCATTTTATGACCTGTCTTACTTCAGCCCCTCAATTCAATCACTAAGAAGAGAAGCAGGTCAAGAATTAGGAGCATTTTCAAGTACTGGTGCTATTACCATTATGTGCCCAAATTCATGTGCACTAATTGTAGGGGTTTGTTGTATAAAGGCAATATCCAAAACCCCATTTATTGCAAATGAAGGCAAGTCAAACCAATCTGCCTCCCTTAATGAGCAGGGTATGTTATGGCTGTGCCATCTTTACTGTGCACACAGTCTGTGGCCATCAGAAACCACATGCCTGCTAAAGCCCAGGGAGAAGGCAGGCAATAAATCCCCTCAGATGAGGTGCTTTAAAAATTATTATACATTTTAAACTCACCTTGCAGTAGTTGGATATTATTAAAAACAAATGTTTGCAAATTAACTGGCTACCTTTAAAACTATTTCCCAAACAGGAGTGACTGCATTGTGAAAGCACAACTATTTCAACACTGCCTGACTCATCACTGAGGAGCAGCAGCATTGTTTTTTCTCCTCTGGAGCAGACACTTAAATAATTTCAATTGTAAGATCCAAGTGGATAGCCAGAACTACTCAGCATTTATGGAACTTCTACAGTTGTGGCTTTTCCAGCTTGCTTTGCTGAGTGCAGCTATCAGCTCATTTGAAAATCCTCATTTCCCAAGGGACAGCGCTGAATCCATCCTGGAATGCCAAATGATCACTGCTCCCAGCTCCATTCACTGAACCACAAGAGCCAGAGAGGGCTTGACAGCACAGGCGTTGTTAGCACTTGTATTTTTAGATCAATACATGGAAGCCCCATTGACACAAATTATTCAGCAAATGTCTCGTAAGCCAGATGGGAAGCTCAAAAAGATGTACTTTTTTCAAGAGGAAACCAAACCATTTTAATATTTATCCACACACTATTGGGGTTTCTATGAAAGATTAGTTCCACAAAATTGCCCTAATTGCTGGAGAAATTGCCAGTGAGAACGTGGCTCCTTTGCTCTGAATGGAAATCACAAACCTTATGCAAAAATTATGTGAGAAGTATGTTCCTACAGAATGCCTTATCACATCAGAGGTCCCATCTGGTCAGAAGTTTCAATTTTCATCAGCAATCAGAGTTTTAAGAAACAAAATTATTAATGTGATCTTCAGGTTTACAGTCAGCAGCATCCATCAGGCAGAGATCCTCAACCACTTCCCAGGCTGCTCACCCCAGAGCTCGAGCACCAGCACTGCTCTACCACAAGCAAAAACTGCAGAGTCACTGAGAGATCAATGGACATGGGGTTTCTCACACATTCCTGCAATATCCCCACATTTTATACTCAGTAGAGAGCTAAGGAGAGGCACTGACCACCCAACATGCTCCTTCTTTTCCATAGAACAGTTCACTGGCAAAATTAGTTACAATTAGTTAGTTACAAAGTTAGTTACAATAACAGAAGCATTAAACTCCTCTGGTTTTCCTAGAATAAACCAGCTTTTTTAAAGAGCAGAGGAAATCTGAAGCAGGGAACCCCTTTAACACCTGCTAGGATCTAGCTGTCCTTTCCAAGAGCAGAAGGAACAGAAAAGTCTCCCAGCTCAGATAGTCAGCAACCTTCCTCTAGTTTCCATCTAAATTTATTAATGGCCTGTTTACTTGGTCCTGGACCAGCACTGCCCTAATGCTGAAATACCAGAGAAGGGGAAGAGTCATTTACTTCTGGTGGGTCCAGGCCATCAATCACAGTAGCTCCTGGCCTAGTGGTAAACTTGAGCCAGACTTGGTGGGTTCTCTCCAGGCCAGGCTCCCCATTCATCCTCTGCACCTGTTTTGGTTTGAGCTCCTCTAATTACACATGCAGGAAACTTTACTAGAGCCTTGAAGCACAGCATCGATGCCCTCTCACCTCTTCCCTTATCCAGATGTACAGTGCTACATCTGCCTTCCTCACAGCCACATTGTGTCTTCTTCTTCTTATTATTATTATTTCTATTATCTTGCTCACCCCAATCAGGCCCCTTCATTCAACAAGCCTGCAACTGTAGCCAGAGTATTTTATTCTCCAAATATGTGATTCTGCAGTTTTTCTAATGAAATTCATCCCGTTTCTCTTACTGTAGCCTTCAAGAACACCTAATTCTGCTGTTTATCTTCAATCTCTCAATTTTACAACATCATCAGAGTTTTTAGTGTACTCTTTGTTCCAGAATTGCTTGTAAAAGCATTAAACAAGATTGGGACCAAGAATCACTCTCAAGAAACATCACTAGTAGCTCCCTGCTTTCACATTTCCATCCACATCACTGTTCATTCTTAAGCAGCTCAATGAACAGAGTGTCAATTTATTTGTTCTTTTCTACCTTTATCAATCATTTTCCCAAATGGCACTGCAAGGAATTCTTCATGGTCTGGATGGATCAAATCTACCACACTTATATCACATAAAATACCCCAACCAGAAACAGGGGCAAGCCTCAAGATCCTTGTGGCATTCCATCAGCTCTGGCAGAGGTGAGCAAAGGACACTCACATCTGCAGAAACGAGCAGAATCCATTGCGCCATCCCAGCTTTGTTCCATGTTTACATAAATAAACATAAAATTTCTGTAAATATTTCAATATTACTAAGAAGTGTTGAATTTGTGAAGATCAAGATAGAATTTTAAAGCAGGCAGGCAAGAACAACCCAGAACAGGGCACAGGAGTTCCCTGCCAAGGAAAGTTTGGGAATGCAGCAGTGGATGGGACACAGTCAGTGCCTGAGGGAATGGGGCAGACCCACTGTGACTGCAGAGCACAGGGCTGCAGCTCCATTCCTGCCTTTCCAAAGTCAGGAAAGCTCAGAAAAGACAAAAAATCCCCCCTGGATATTCGACAGCAAACTCAGCTGCTCCTCCCTCCCAGGAGGCGTGTTCAGACTGCTCTCTTCAGTGGGACCCTGAGCACAGATGGTGCCATCTGCAATTCCTCTCTCCTCCCGATCCATCCACTGCAGACTCACCAGCATCTGCTGGTATTCCTTCACTTCTCCTTTGTAATCCATTCACGGCTTTTATTTAGGTTTCAAAGCCACAAAATCAGCTCTGTGCTGAAATCGGAGGTGCTGAGCACAAGTGGTGCTTTCCCAGCACTGCAGGCCCAGTGCAATGGAATCAGATGACAGAGCTCACACAGCTCCCCGACAGTTACATAAACTCAGCTGTTAAAATTACATGCCATTATATAACAGGTGAAAACACGGGCTCCAAACCTGACATCCCAGCAGGCAGCACATGCTGACAGGGCCTCAAATGCTGGTATTTAGCAAAAGCTGTGATATGGCATAAGAAGGCAGCATTTGAGACTCCACTAGATTAAAGCGAGCTTTATTTTTCTAGCATTTTGTTAAGTCTTTAAATGAGCCATCATATTAATGTGAAATAAAGTGGAACTGCTGCTTCTTAGAGCAAAATGTCTTCTCATACACTCACAGCAAAATAGTACAGGCACAGTTTCACAGGAATATAACAAAGGCATCTGGTTACTACACAGCAAGAAGGAAGAGGCTGCCCCAAATTCAGCTCCAGGCAATAATATTCTCTATTCTAGACTAACAAATGCTGAGGCACTGATTTTTTGGAGACAAGGTGCAGCACCAATGCAGGGCTATCGGTGGCTGTGAAGTGAACAGATTGCATATAGTAAACACAACCCAATTAGCTTAAGTGTCCAGAAGTTACTGTATTAACTATATTTTAAATAATTTCTCATCAGTAGTATTTTCACTAGGTTTGAAGGAATTCAAGTCGTATTTATTCAAGCTCTATTTTTATGCCCTGTACAAGACCTGAATTAAATGACTGAAAAGAGAACTGATTTAGAGGCAAAGAAACAAATTCTATTTATTTTTCACTTCATTAACTCCAAAATCAGTCTTTTGTTCTCGAGCAATATTACTCCAAAGTAAAGGTTAAACACATCTTCCCCCCTTTCTGTGAATCTGAATACAATTGTATTTTGCAAGTTAATAACAGTCCCCTCTTTGATGCCTCCCATCCAAAGGATCCCATCTGCTGATCAAAGCCAAAGACGCTGCCATCCTCAAGACCAAAATCAGGTCCATGCATGGTTTGAAGGAGCTTATCTATTACCTAAGAAACAATGAAAGCGTGCTACCTGCATTTTAAAATACAATGTTAATATAAAGACTGACAATTTAAGACTGTTATTTATTACTACTCTTAATATCAGCATGGAAATATTAGAACACACATGTGAGCTTGTGATTAAATATACCACAGCCATTTTCCACACTAAGCAAATCATAAATCACTACAAATAAGGTTATCAGAAAAAGGAAATGCTTAAAGCTGTGTAAGCAAGAGCAGAGCACAGCTCAGGGTTAGCACAGCAGTCTCATAAGGGGATACTTTACTCATAAGATCCACACTGTAGCTGGTGTGCCACAGGGAAGGGCCAGGCTGGAAAAGCAAGCGGTTGTAGGAACAAGAGATGGCTCCTACAACACTTGCCTGCACTGTATCTGCTCAGGGTGGAGCTAAGGGGCACTTGTGAGCAAAACTCAACACTCAGATCAAGACAACATTTCAAAAAGCCTGGTAAGAGCCTGCAAAGGAAGTAGGCTTTTAATTTTCAAAGTTCATCTGCAAGATGAAAAGCATCCACATCTTTATAGCACGAAGATAATTTGTAGCCAGAAACCATGCTAATTTTCATTATCATTTCATTGATTTCAGTGCATTTGATATGCTTGCCTGCAGCTAGTGTAGATGACAGACAGCTTTACTTGGGAATTGTTCAGACTTTTAAAAATCTCCATTTCTCTCCAGAGAGCTTTTCCATTTACATATTAGTCATTCCAGAGCTCACTGGGTATGCTGGCCCTCTCCTGAAGCACAAGTGCTTTGTCTGCCCCACCTGGAGCTGCCACCACTCCCTGGTACCTCCCCACTGCCATTCCCCTGGGATTAACTGCAAGGGAGGCACAATCCTGCAGCCCTTTGCACACTCAATTTGACACCACAGAAATCCCAAAGACAACAGATCAATGAGTGTGCAAATATGAGCATGTATAAGAAGACTCATAGGATGAGAGTTGCTTAATTTTACAGTGCAAAGTGGTTTTAGGATCAATTTTTATTTTGTTGAAGCAAGCTCTCTCCAGGGGTGAGGTGTTTAAATATTTTAAATTTTATTAAGTAAGAAACTGAACTCAATTTTTACATGTTCATTTTTTTCCAGTAAAAAGCAGTGGTTTTGGCATCCAAAATTTTATCCCAGGCTAAAAGAGGTTGGTAGGAGCAAACTGTATAACCTATCAATAATATTTCTTATCATGCCAATATTAATTTTTTTTTAGGAATAGCAAAGCAAATCTGAATCCGCAGGTTTAGAGGAATAATTTTCTTAACTCAAGTCTGACCTCATTCATCCAATATGCCACAACTACATCCTTTGATAGAATTCTTTATTAAGAACATGCATCAGAGAAGTTACTGAGAGAATATATTATCAGCAAGTTAACACACAGATACTGTTTGTAAGAATACTCAGCTCTTTATGCTTTCAAAGTAAGCCACTCCTTTGCTTTTCCATTACCAAACTTAGGCAAGTCAAGAGCTACTGACTCATTAGAGAAAATCATTAACTTTTCCTATGCAACAGCAAAGATTTAGTCATTTGACATTTTTAACACCAAAGGATACTGACTCTTCAAGGCACACAAAACAAGCATGGTTTGAAAGTAAATGTTTTCACTGTTGGTTAAATCAAAGGCAGTTTGCCATCAGCCCACACCAACCCAAACCAGTGGCTACAATCCACCCAGTTTTATTCCTCCCTCAATGTGCTCATCCAAGCACTTGTGTGACCCCATGGTGAGCTGGTTCAGGAAGTTAAGCTGGCAAAAAACTAACTGTACAAAAATAATCCCAGAGGGAGGGCAGGGCTGCAGCAGGACTGGTTTGGGTACGCTGGCCGAGGCTGTTAATGAACCATATCAATCATTTGTGTATTTCTGCCTTTTTCCTCTCCAAAACAAGATGTAAGACCAAACCTGTTCCTGCTAGACCAGGAGAAAGGGAAGTAAGGATACACGAAATGGCTGCTTCTCCATGAAAACACAACCTCTTGGATTCACCAAAATACTTTCAGACTGCAAGGCATTCCAAGAAATAACTGATCATAAGAAGCTATTTTCAATCAGCAAAGAACTGCTTGAGTGGCTTACCAGAAACATTAATTGATGTTCCTGCATCGATAATTCCACTGTTGGGCCTTACACAGTATCTACGTGGTGCTGTGGTCTTAACTTTGAAGCACACATTTCTGTCCGTGGGGTTGCCGAGCTTCAGGTTTGTAGTGACCACATCTGTGAAAGGACCTGGGGAGGAGAGCAAAAGCAGACTTGAAATCACACAGAAAGCACTTTTCAAGCAGAGGCTAAGCAGGCTCTAAATCTCTGTTCACAAATCTTATAAAGTAATTAGATGTTCAATTTCCATCTGCAGCACGTCCAGATAATCGTGCATGCAAAGCTGAGGCTGCAGCCAGGCCCCAGCCCAAGAGCTCATCATTAACAGCAAAACAAAAGGGGGAAATCATGCACACATTGTGCCAACACCACAACATGGCATTCAAAGGATGCCAAATTCCCTGCTGTGTCACAGTTGCTCCATTCTAGTCCCAGAAGCCCAGGCTAGCAGAGATCCCACATATACCCATGCTGTAGGTGTAAGCAGTGAGTACAGCACAGTTTGTTAACCAAGGACTACCACAGATCCATCTGCACATGAAGCTGGACCTCCACAGAACCAGGATTCCTCCAGGTTCTCAGGAATGCCACATCAAAAACAGCAAGACAAGCATACAGAGTGCATCTCCTTTTGCCTACCAAGTTCTTTTATTTTTTTATAAACTGTCTTGGCAACTAGAAATTATAAACCTGAAGAAATAAAGTAGCCTACCTCACCCAGGACAGGAAATAACCATGTGGAAATAAGAAAAATTTTTGGACACTGAGAGCACTGGTGAAAATTTCCATATTAGCAAAGCCAAAATCAAACCATTGTCAAGTTCTGCAAATCAAGTGCAGGCAAATCCTTTTCTCTCAGGCTCACCACCTAATTGAAACTCCCAAATCCCTCAGGCTGAAGAAAGGCTGATTTCCTACAAGACACTGATAAATCAGACAGGTAGCACACAACTACAGTGCTTCACAGATGGTAAAGAAGTAAAATTAAAAGAAATATAACCACACTTTGATCAACTGTCTTCTCCATAGAAGTGATCAATTTGAGGCCTGAATAAAATACCTTCATTTGTCCTCAGGAGTAAAAGCAAATTAGTCCAAAAAAAAGCATCAAACTTTTCCTTGCAGAAATGGCAACCCTAATATTGAAAAAGGGTGAATGATGATGACAATAACAATACCGGCAGGCAGCATTCCACCACCCTGCTCTGCCAGCATGGATGCCTTGATGTAATTTAAGTTTGCTTCTTATTCTACACAAATTTGTCTCCTAAGACAATATTTAATGCAGCTGTAACAGTACTACAGTCCTGCAACCTCCATCCTTGATCCAATTTGTTTAAAGTAATTAGAAGGGGAAAAGCCTCAAAAGAATCACACACATAATAACCCCAACCAGGCAACAAGGCAGCACCACTTCTGCCTGCACCCTGAGCAGACCAGCTTGGCAAGGCAATGGGAGCTAAAAAATCTGAAGTAATAAAATTTTCAGATCCCACGGCAAAGGTTTCACTAGACCTGTGCCTGGTGAAACACTGAGATGTGAAAGAGAATGAAACACAGCTGTAAAGTTTTCTCTGTGTTATGCATGCAGAGGGAGACTCAGCTAATGGAAAATAACTGGCCAGAAGCAGCCATGAGTTGTTAAAGAAGTTAAAATAAGCCAAACCATCAGAAAAATCCAGCAAACATTTAGGTGTGTAAGGACAGTAGCAGATCTTCAAAATAGCCCTAACAGGGAGAAATCAAATGTTTCAGAAGAAATCATAGGATGCCTATGCAATAAGGATGTGTCTTTACTAAAAAATTACAGCTTGAGCTGTTCCAGCACAGGGGGAGGGTTGGCTGTACAAAGCCCTTCATCTGCAGCTGCATCCTCAGCAGTGCTTTACTGGTCTGCATGCTGGGATAGATGTCCTGGGGGAAATACCATGTTTTTACTTGGCTGATCCACGAATATGTGCGGGATTTGTGTGCCCCAGCACAGAGCTGCTGTTTGAAATTGTAATACGACAACAATTCTGTGTGGAAAATAATTTCCAAATGGAATTACTTATTGCTAACATAGATCACACCAAAATATTTGGCAGCAAAACCTTTCAGCAGACGGAACTCATTTCTTCTTGTCTTCTTGGTGTTTCCTCTTCTGTTCTGTCCACTAAACCCTAAACATTTTCTTTAGCTACATTTCCCACAAATTACAGGTTTTACAGCCACCACAACTGTACTAGAAGGTTGACATCTGCTTCCAGCAAACCTGTGGGCAAGCACACTCATTCTTATGGCCCTGCTGCTCAAACTCTGCAGCAAAGCAAAACACAGCAGACAAATGCAGGATTAACGTGCCAATTAAGGTCTCCTGAAGAAAAAAATAAACAGACCACAGGGTATTACTCAGGGGTAACTGGGGCATGGCAGTGAAATATTATCACTTGGCTGGCCTGCCTTTTAAGAGCAAGGCCCATGGACTGCCAGCTAGGGTTGAAATGAAATCCTGGTTGCCTGTTGTTGGATTACTACAGCCAAGGTTACAGGTTTTTGGGGAGGTTGGTGTATGTGGGAGAACTTATCCCAGGAGAGACACAAGGTAATTCTGCACTGGAAATACACCTTTGCTTTCCAGCATCTGGATTTGAGCACTGCAGATAAAGCTGGTGTGGGTTTTAACATTCATGTGAGATGCACATCAACCCTGCAGCTTCATTTTCCAATGCAAGGCATTGGGACTTTGGGAATCCTACCCAAAATACAGGAAGAGAAAACACTCTACAATCTTTCTGGTAACTCTGTCCTCATTACAAGTGGATGGACTATTGATACAAATTTATTCCACACCTGGGCAATGCTTGTACTCCCAAGGTGGGCTGAGAGCACAGCAAAGCCAGACTGGTGCATCTGGATGGTCCTTGGGTGAAAGCAGCAAGTGAAGATTGACTCTTAAAACCCACAATCCTAACTTAATCACATTATTTTGTTTTGAATGTTTTTTTGATTGCTCATAATAATATCGCTAGATAAGTGGAACTGATACTAAGGCAGGGTGCTTTCCAAATGACAATTTGCTCTTTAAAATCATCCCAACTGTTTTTCTCACATGTTTTTTAAAGATCATGAGAAGAATGCCACTGGTGTCATCCCAAGGACAAAGTTACGGGAAACAGGGTCTGTACATGCATCATCTGACATGGGGGTGTCATGGGAGCATGGAAGAATGTAGTAAATTGAATTTGGTGCTGAAAGTCTGAAATACTACACAAGGGCTTGGTGACTTTCTCCTGCCAAAATAAAGTCAACTCATGTTAATGCAAAGTGGGCATCTAGTGACACACAAACTAGCAGTGTTACTGAAAGGAAAGGAAACATCACCTTCTATACTCATAAAACAACAAATAGGAAGAGGTATCCTGGTTTTTCATAGGACTACTTTTCAGCAGGGTTGTTACTGAACCGTGGCTTTTCACCCAGAAATCCAACCCTTCACGTTTGAAGATCACAATGTTACCTCAGAATTTTCCAGTCCATTTCCTATTCAAACACCAGTGCTGTAGCAACCTTTCCTTAGAGAGCCATGCTGCAGCGTATGGCATTGTAATATCCCACACCATTTTAGTAATGATAAAAAAGTCTGGGAATTAGGTCAAAAGAACATGATGTCAACTTTATTTAAATTTTAAATAACCCTCACTGCAATAGAAATTGCCCATAATTGTTTCAGCAAATTCAGGCTGATAACTTTTTGATGAGCACAGTACTCACTGTGAGTTCCTTGCCACTTGCTCCTCAGAGAAACCACGTTACACAGCCCCATCATTTGTACTACATCTGAACACAGCCATCCTCACCTTAACCAAAATTCCATGCTTTGGCATGGCAAATAATCAGCCCTCATGCTGTTTGGCACATGTGGGAATTCAGCACAAGTGCCAGCAGAGGGAAAGCTTTGATGGCACAGGCTCGGGCAGGAGCGTTCAAACCCAGCAGGGACAGTCTCTGTAGATCTGTACCTGCAATTATCACTACATCTTTATCTTTAACTACACACATCAGCTGGCCCACAGGGTTGCTTCATTCCTGCATGAGCCCATCTCACTGCTGAGAGGGGAGCTGGTCTGGCCCCTCATCTCCACCAGCTGCCTGTGCAAGCTGCACTGTGCTCCTCTGCTTGGCCAAGAGCAGAGCCAGGAGCTGCTGGGGCTGGAAATTAATCCACTTACCAGAGAGAGGGAGGGGGCAGTGGGGAAGAGAAAAAGGAGAATCAGTTTTCAGCCAGAATGAGCAGCACTCAGAGCTGGCATCAGGGAAACTGCATCTTCCTGCACAGCATTCTGCCAATTTAAGGTCTCACAGTTGCAGGTTAAAGCTTGCAAGCACATCTGGGCATACGTGCTGCAGTCACACTTGTAGTGCTGGCATAGCTGCTGAAAGTAATTAAGGCACATTCATCATTTTGTCTGTACTTAAATTTAATGCAAATTCTCATCTGCTAAAAGCTAGGCAATCCTAAAAAAAAGTAGTGAACTCTTCAAAGAAAAGCACTGCAGGAATACTTGATACAACTGGCAACCATTGATCCACAAGACTAAGAATAAATTCTTATCAAGTTGCCCATTCCCAGAGTGTTTTAGATGCACTTTCAGCATCGAGCCCTAAACAACTTTTGCAACTCCAGCTCACCACAGACATGTATCCAACAGCAAGGTAATTGGAAACAGCCAGAAATACAGGCAGAGCTCCTCATGAGATAACCTCTCTTGTACTTCCTCTGTGGACAGCAGTGGAATGCAATAATAGGAGGGGAAGGATGTATTGCACCATGTTTAATCCCACTGATGTGTCAGATGAAAGTCATTAATCACCTGACACATTAATCAGCCATACAAAGGTAACTGAAGAATCTTTAATAAGGGAGATGGTAGAAAGCAATAGAGGGGAAACTTAAATTGTTTTGTGACTATTCTCAAGAGCCCAAATCCTACATGTGACTGGTAGATGTCCACATGGAGCTGTAATTAAACCAGTGAAAGAGTCACACTGGCCCTGTGTGAGGGGAAAGGATGGGGCCTGAACATGACACTCATCCCCTCCCCACCCTACCCCTACACTGGCCCCTCTCCCATGGCATTAAGTGCCTC